ACACTTATTGTATGGTCTCTTAACGTGCTAGTGACACCCCTGCTTTTCATTGTGGAGATGTTGCATCGTCTGCCAAGTCTTTTGCTTTCGTAGTGAGTGATTTTCGTGTGCAAGTTCGGTACTAGTCCCTCTAGGATTTTCCAGGTGTATATAATCATGTATCTCTCCGCCTGCGTTCCAGGGTACAGGTTCAGGAACTTCAAGTGTTCCCAGTTAATTAGGTGTTTTATCTCTCGTTATGCACGCCGTGAAGGTTCTGTACATTTCTAGCGTCAGCAATTTCACGGCCTTGAAAGGTGCTGTTGTGTTGCAGGCAATATGTCCCTTTTCAGACTGATGAACAGTGACCTGAAGTAGGTCATCAAAGGCTTGGCATCGCCTAGTTTTGAAGAGTTTCTTATCGATCTGTCATTTTTTCTGCAGTGCGATTGATACAATGTAATGGTCCTTGAGTGTGAGATCCTCGACATGATCACTCCAGGTTTGACGTTGGTGTTACGCTCTATTATTCTGGAGAATTGTTTTGTACTCTGTGAAGTTTTAATACCTCGTCAGTTATACTATCTGATGTACACTGATGTACACTGAGATGTACACCTGCCAGTGTGTATGTACACTGAGATGTACACCTGCCAGTGTGTATGTACGCTGAGATGTACACCTCCCAGTGTGTATGTACACTGAGATGTACACCTGCCAGTGTGTAAACATGTCTGGAAGGACACCTAGTATGGTCTGATCTTTGTAAGTAGGAGTCCTCCCTCAAGGGGATGGCTCTGGATCCAAGGAATTGGACCGGATCTCCCGCTTCCTTAGATCGAACCCAATTGTCCCTCCTCCCACTCCCAAACGCTGAATAACCCCTACGGGTTTGGAGCTTCCCAAATGAAAATAATAATAACCACAACAACAACAATAATAATAATAATGTGAGGTATCCTTCCTCTCATTATCTCTCACTCTCATTATCTCTCACTCTCATCTCTCACTCTCATTATCTCTCACTCTCATTATCTCTCACTCTCATTATCTCTCACTCTCATTATCTCACTCTCATTATCTCTCACTCTCATTATCTCTCACTCTCATTATCTCTCACTCTCATTATCTCTCACTCTCATTATCTCTCACTCTCATCTCACTCTCACTCTCATCTATCTCTCACTCTCATTATCTCTCACTCTCATTATCTCTCACTCTCATTATCTCTCACTCTCATTATCTCTCACTCTCATTATTTCTCACTCTCATTATCTCTCACTCTCATTATCTCTCACTCTCATTATCTCTCACTCTCATTATCTCTCACTCTCATTATCTCTCACTCTCATTATCTCTCACTCTCATTATCTCTCACTCTCATCTTCATCTCATCTCTCATTCATCTCTCACTCTCATTATCTCTCACTCATCATTATCTCTCACTCTCATTATCTCTCACTCTCATTATCTCTCTCTCATTATTTCTCACTCTCATTATCTCTCTCTCATTATTTCTCACTCTCATTATTTCTCACTCTCATTATCTCTCACTCTCATTATCTCACTCTCATTATCTCTCACTCTCATTATCTCTCACTCTCATTATCTCTCACTCTCATTATCTCTCACTCTCATTATCTCTCACTCTCATTATCTCTCACTCTCATTATCTCTCACTCTCATCTCTCACTCTCATTATCTCTCACTCTCATTATCTCTCACTCTCATTATCTCTCACTTCATTATCTCTCACTCTCATTATCTCTCACTCTCATTATCTCTCACTCTCATTATCTCTCACTCTCATTATCTCTCACTCTCATTATCTCTCACTCTCATTATCTCTCACTCTCATTATCTCTCACTCTCATATCTCTCACTCTCATTATCTCTCACTCTCATTATCTCTCACTCATCATTATTCTCACCTCATTATCTCTCACCTTTATCTCTCACTCTCATTATCTCATCACTCTATTATTCTACTTCATTATCTCTCACTCTCATTTCTCACTCTCATCTCTCTAACTATTATACTATCACTTCATTATCTATCACTCTATTATCTCTCACTCTCATATATCTCTCACTCTCATTAATCTCTCACTCTATATATCTCACTCTCATTATCTCTCACTTCATTATCTCTCACTTCATCTCTCACTCTCATCTCTCTCTCATTATCTCTCACGTCATCATTATCTCTCCTTCTCATTTATTCTTCTCTTCAGTCTCTCATTCATCTCTCTCTCATTATCATCTCTCATTATTCTCACTTCATAATCTTCACTTCATTATTCTCCTGCTCATCTCTCACTTCATCTCTCTCTACTTATATCTCCACTCTCATTTACTCTCTCACTTCTATATCTCCACTGTACTTCATATCTCTCACTCTATTATCTATCACTCTCATTATCTTCACTTCATCTATGAAGTGAGAACTTGCTCACTTCAGGGAGACATGGTGTTAATAATTTACAATAATCGATAAGGTTATACACAAAAAAAGTTTATAATGGGTAATTTATTATAGGAATTCTTATGAATATGTTGCTCTCAAATCTACCTAAAAACAAATATTATATTATATAGTATATATCATATATATATATTATATTTATATTCATTTTTTATATATATTCTATATCTATAAATATACATACTATTTTATAATATGTAACAACAATAATATTTGACGTTAAGATCAAGAGAGTAATTTGGATTTTCTTCTTCGTGTCTAATAATATGAGTATTTTTATGTTTAGTAAGGTGATATATTTTATATGCTTACTAAGGGAACATAGTGTATATAATCTCTCTTGTGTGATGTGTATAATTATGTCTACGAGAGAGGTAATATTTTCATGGCTGTGAGAGGCAGCTGCAGATGGGGATTGAGTTCTACGCTTACTGTATATGTTTACGCTCTTGTACTGTAGCTACATGTCCTGTAGCGTGTGGTATACATGGCATGTAACGTTGACGCTATACATGTGTTGTAGCGTTGGCTATACATGGCATTAGGTCTGAAGCTATCTATAGCCTGTGTTAGCGTTGAGCTATACATGGCCACGCTTCGTCAGGGTAACTTACACGATACGAGTAAAACTTCGATGCCAGGCAGCACGAAGCAATTAAGTCTAGCTCTTTTCTCCTGACTCACGGAATTTCTGCTAATTTATATCTCGACATTACTAAAATGGTTGTTACTCAATGCAGTATGTTATACTACCCGATACCTCCTATTATCCTCGGACAGGTTTGGGCAAAGGGTTTAGTCAGTGGCTCCTGGAATATCGGAGAGTACAAGGGGCTTCCACTGTTCTGTTATATACTTTTAATATGTTTGCTACAAGCAGTGATTACTGGAACTTCCATGCTCTCTCTTCATTATTTTCCTAAATAAAGTTATTTTTGAAATATCCCCCAAAAAACCAAAATAGAAAATATAGCTTCACTTTTGGGGCAAAAAATTCAATATTATATAATATTATTATAATTATATATATAAAATATTTTTATATTATATTATATATATATATATATATATATATATATATATATATTATATATTATATATATATATTATATATGGGAAATAAAATATTATACAGTGTTGATCATTTCTTGAATGCAAAGAAAGTGGGTTTACAAAAATTCCAGGTTTTGGAACTCACTGCTAGTAGCGTGTTGGAGTGGGTTCCCCCATTCCAGGTTTCTGGAACTCACTGCTAGTTTGTGTGTTGAGAGTGTGGTTCACCCCTTAGGTTTTTGGAAACCCCCGCTAGTGCTGTGTTTAGAGTGTTTCACCACATTCCAGGTTTTGGAACTCACTGCTAGTAGCTGTGTTGAGAGTGTGGTTCCCCCAAAAGGGGAAATGAGGGGGGGGAACATTCCAGGTTTCTGGAACTCACTGCTAGTAGCTGTGTTGAGAGTGTGGTTCACCACATTCCAGGTTTCTGGAACTCGCTTGTCTTCACAGTAACAAGTATAATAGCAATTGACTCTTAAGTTTTGTGCCTGCTATAGAGGCTAATTTTTTCTAAGCCTCTTTTTTTCCAGATAAACTTCATTTTTGGTTTACTGTGAACATTTGTTCATTTTGGCGTTCGGGGTGACGGCGATTCTCAGATATAATGTGTTGGGACTTAATTATTATGAAGGATATGATATACTTGCCTTAGTTCGTAGCCTCGGAGAGGAAGTAGCAGAGGATAGGTGACACCTTAGGAAAGAAGAACAGGCGAACAGCAACGATAACGTGAGAGAAGAACGAGGTGAAGTACACTAAGGAAGTGAGAAACATATTTCCCAGAGTCAGAAACATAAAGTAATGTTGATAACTCATTTTGCGAGTCGCTGGAGACTGATGAGTGAGAAAGTGATATTGAGACAGTGATATATTGACTTTGTTAGATATATTGCTCTAAAATGTCAACATTGTGATCGATTCTTTGACCACAAACGTCCCTGGTGTCCAGCCTAGTTGTAGGTCAATATTACGTCATTATAAAGAATTCCGAATTTCTCATTTTTCGTTACTCAGGAAAGACGAGCGAATGTTCCTTCTTCCCTCGTTGTGTTTACAATCTTAACTTAAAATCAAAATATTACCTCACCACTTTTCTTACATCTTATTAATTTTATTGTAAACTAAGAGACGGTCATGGACTAAGCATTACTTTATTTACATAGGTTAAACGAGGTCAACCTTCCTTCTGACCTTCCGTCTGTTCCATCACCCTATAGAAATAGGAAGATTTTTTCCTTCAAGACACTACATAGGTTTTCTAGCATAATACGAGAACAGTTTATGTAAATTTTGATAAATCTGCCACCTTCTCTGACGTATTTTCTATAAGTTTTCTTTAATCATTGCAAGAGTAACTCAGACTTCTCCATTTATATATTTTTGTATCTATGTGAGAACGTCAGGATTACCTTAATCTTCTCCTACATTAATTGTTATACATACATATTACCTGTGTAGGAATAGTAGCTAGTGAAAAACCACAGTTTGTATACACAGAGTTTAATAAAATGTGTGTATAGAGTTTAATATGTTGGGTATACAATAAGAACCAGCCTGTATGATGATGCCAATGTTGTCTTTGAGAGGTACGAGGGTAACTAGCAGCAGTTATTACCACCTCAAGACTGAGAGAAGAAACCAGCCATCACGGTAGCAGATATTAGTAAAGATAGAATTACAAATGGCCAGAATGAAAATCAAGAATCTGGTGATTTGGCCAAACTTGGTAGTGGACTGGAGCGACGTTGGGAGGCTCACGAAGGGTTGGGGAATTGGAAGGGTTTACACCAGCAGTTTGGTGAAAAAAAGGAGTAGAGGGAGAGGATAAGCCTCATCGTCGTTTCTTCATGGTGTGGAAGTCTCCCAGTCCTTCTGTGAACATATCGCTGGATGATCCCCAGCCCAGGGACCTCTTGTAGAGTGGTCGGTGGTCGTCCTTGTGGATTTCGTGGACATCCTCCTCCTCTTCCTCCTCCTCCTCCTCCTCCTGTTTCACACTTCGTCGTCTCCTGTCGTCCAGGTCACTCTCAACTGGAGGCTTCAATTCCACTTCGAGCATTTCGCTTTCCACCAGATTCCTCTTGCTGCGTCCCTCCTCCTCTTCCTCCTCCTGAAGGTGCTGCTGCAAAATCTTCATCTTATTCTCCTCCAGACGCTTCCTCATCGTGTCGAAGTCGCCGAAGCCGCCGTTGAAGGTGTCGCCGTAGAAGCCGCTGGAGTCCATCTCGGGGCGACGCTTGTCTGCTTCGTGGTCGTCTATGCCTGTGTCTGCTTCACGTTTTCTTCTCGTCGTTGTCTCTTTCTCCTTCTCCTCTTCTGACGTTTCTGTCTTATCCTCCTCTGAATCCTTCTTCTTCATTGTGTTAAACTCGCCGAAGCCTCCTGAGAAAGTGTCACCGTAAAATCCACTCGAGTCCATTTCTGGCCTCCTCTTTTTCATGGTGGAGAAGTCGCCGAAGCCTTGGCTGAAGGTGTCTCCATGGAAACCGCTGGCTCCCATGCCAAGTCTTCTCTTCTTCATGGTGGAGAAGTCGCCGAAGCCTTGGCTGAAGGTGTCTCCATGGAAACCGCTGGCTCCCATGCCAAGTCTTCTCTTCTTCATGGTGGAGAAGTCGCCGAAGCCTTGGCTGAAGGTGTCTCCATGGAAACCGCTGGCTCCCATGCCAAGTCTTCTCTTCTTCATGGTGGAGAAGTCTCCAAAGCCTTGACTGAAGGTGTCTCCATGAAAACCACTGGCTCCCATCCCCAATCTCCTTTTCATGGTGGAGAAATCTCCAAAACCTTGACTGAAAGTGTCTCCATGAAAACCACTCGCGCCCATGCCTAGTCGCCTCTTCTTCATGGTAGAGAAATCGCCGAATCCTTGACTGAAGGTATCACCATAGAATCCACTTGCTCCCATTCCCAGTCGCCTCTTTTTCATGGTGGAGAAATCGCCAAAGCCTCCGGAAAAAGTGTCGCCATGAAAGCCGCTGGAGGTCATCTCTGGGCGCCTCTTGTCTGGTGCTTCCACTTCCAAGGACTCAGCTTCTCTCTTGCCGCGCTTCACTGGTGAGAAATCCCCGAAGTTGTGAGTGAAGATTCCCTCATGGAAGCCTTGAGCACCCATGTCGTTGGGCGCTCTCTTCCAGTCGTTGGAGGCCAGGGAGAGGAGGTAGGGGTTGATGGACCTCTTGTAGCTGTGCATGAAGTGTTGGGGAATGTACACATCCAGGTAAGGGTCATGCTTCTTCATGCCATCACCGAAGTATTGCTGTGGGTAGTAAGAAGCTTCTGCGTACTCCTCACTCTTCCTGGGTCCACTGGGAATGGCTTGGCGATAGTAAGCTCCCGCGGTGTCACTGCTCCTCTTGACCGTCTTCTTGTTGTAGGAGGCGAAGGGGTCGTACTCAAGGCTCTGTAAGTACGGGTCGAAGCTGTCGTCCCTCTTAGCCCAGGCCATCATGGGGTCGTAGCCAATGCTCTGCATGTACGAGTCGAACCCATCTCTCTTAGTTTCCCTCTTACCCCAGGCCATGGCAGGGTCGTATCCAATGGCTTGCATATAGGACTCGAAGCCAGGATCGTAATTGTTTCTCTTGGCCCATGTTGCCATGGGGTCATATCTGATATCATTCATATACCCAGCTGGTACATCGGTAGAGCGCTTGACCAGGGCCTTGGCAGGAAGATTCTCCTTTGCCAGGGTACTGGGTTGAGGTCGAGGGACTGGCACTTCCCTCTGGAGATCTTCTGGGAAGACATTGAAGAGAATGCCTCCTTCAGGAGTCACATCTGTGGAAATAAAACAAATACCGACATTAGACTTCAGCTGAGACGTACCGACAAATCTACATAAAAACACCCACAGAACCAGACTCGTACAAGCAAAACAAAACATATCACGTATATTTCATGTCTTGCTTTCGTATCCAGCTATTATTATAAGTTTTTTGTACAGGTGTACAGTATTGCATTACCCTTTCCAAAGGTGCATATACAAATGAACAGAGATGACATGTGATACAAACCAGTCAAGTAGCACAGAGCATGACATTAATATTTCAGGGGAAGCATCTGACACCATTGTTCAATTTTTTCTTTATGTAATTTAAATCTAGGCACAATTAGGCAGGGTGACCTCTCAGCCATTGTGTCTGGCATCACAAGACACTCAAGAGAGCCACGGGAGGGGTAGGGGGTTATCAACAACACTGAGAGCCACGGGAGGGGTAGGGGGTATCAACAACACTGAGAGCAACGGGAGGGGTAGGGGGTTATCAACAACACTGAGAGCCACGGGAGGGGTAGGGGGTATCAACACTGAGAGCCACGGGAGGGGTAGGGGGTTATCAACAACAACACTGAGAGCCACGGGAGGGGTAGGGGGTATCAACAACACTGAGAGCCACGGAGGGGTAGGGGGTATCAACAACAACAATGAGAGCCACGGGAGGGGTAGGGGTTAACAACAAAAACTGACAGCCACGGGAGGGGTAGGGGGTATCAACAACAACAATGAGAGCCACGGGAGGGGTAGGGGTTAACAACAAAAACTGAGAGCCACGGGAGGGAGTGGGGGTATCAACAACAACAATGAGAGCCACGGGAGGGGTAGGGGGTTAACAACAACAATGAGAGCCACGGGAGGGGTAGGGGGTATCAACAAACACTGAGAGCCACGGGAGGGGTAGGGGTATCAACAACAACAATGAGAGCCACGGGAGGGGTAGGGGTTAACAAAACACTGAGAGCCCCGGGAGGGGTAGGGGGGTATCAACAACACTGAGAGCCACGGGAGGGGTAGGGGGTATCAACAACAACACTGAGAGCCACGGGAGGGGTAGGGGGTTAACAACACTGAAGCCACGGGGGGGTAGGGGGGTATCAACAATACTGAGAGCCACGGGAGGGGTAGGGGTATCAAACAGCAACACTGAGAGCCACGGGAGGGGTAGGGGGTTATCAACAACAACACTGAGAGCCACGGGAGGGGTAGGGGGTATCAACAACACTGAGAGCCACGGGAGGGGTAGGGGGTATCAACACCACTGAGAGCCACGGGAGGGGTAGGAGGTAACAACACTGAGAGCCACGTGAGGGGTAGGGGGTATCAACAACAACACTGAGAGCCACGGAAGGGGTAGGGGGGTATCAACAACAACACTGAGAGCCACGGGAGGGGTTTGGGATTGTCAACAACACTGAGAGCCACGGGAGGGGTAGGGGGTTTTCAACAACAACACTGAGAGCCACGGAGGGGTAGGGATATCAACAACAACACTGAGAGCCACGGGAGGGTAGGGGGTATCAACAACAACACTGAGAGGGCCACGGGAGGGGTAGGGGGGTATCAACAACACTGAGAGCCACGGGAGAGGTAGGGGGTATCAACAACACTGAGAGCCACGAGAGGGTAGGGGGTATCAACAACAACACTGAGAGCCACGGGAGGGGTAGGGGTATCAACAACACTGAGAGCCACGGGAGGGGTAGGGGGTATCAACAACAACACTGAGAGCCACGGAAGGGGTAGTGGGGTATCAACAACAACACTGAGAGCCACGGGAGGGTAGTGGGGTATCAACGACACTGAGAGCCACGGGAGGGGTAGGGGATATCAACAACAACACTGAGAAGCACGGGAGGGGTAGGGGGTATCAACAACAACACTGAGAGCCACGGGAGGGGTAGGGGGTATCAACAACACTGAGAGCCACGGGAGGGGTAGGGGGTATCAACAACAACACTGAGAGCCACGGGAGGGGTAGGGGATATCAACAACAACACTGAGAAGCACGGGAGGGGTAGGGGGTATCAACAACAACACTGAGAGCCACGGGAGGGGTAGGGGGTATCAACAACACTGAGAGCCACGGGAGGGGTAGGGGGTACAACACAACACTGAGAGCCACGGGAGGGTAGGGGGGTATCAACAACAACACTGAGAGCCACACGGGAGGGGTAGGGGGTATCAACAACACTGAGAGCCACGGAGGGTAGGGGGTATCAACAACAACACTGAGAGCCACGGGAGGGGAGGGGGTATCAACAACAACACTGAGAAGCACGGGAGGGGTAGGGGGTATCAACAACAACACTGAGAGCCACGGGAGGGGTAGGGGGTATCAACAACACTGAGAGCCACGGGAGAGGTAGGAGGTATCAACAACAACACTGAGAGCCACGGGAGGGGTAGGGGGGTATCAACAACAACACTGAGAGCCACGGGAGGGTAGGGGGGTATCAACAAACCTGAGAGCCACGGGAGGGGTAGGGGGTATCAACAACAACACTGAGAGCCACGGAGGGGTAGGGGGGTAAACAACAACAACACTGAGAGCCACGGGGAGGGGTAAGGGGTAACAACATCACTGAGAGCCACTGGAGAGGTAGGGGGGTATCAACAACAACACTGAGAGCCACGGGAGGGGTAGGGGGTATCAACAACACGGAGAGCCACGGAAGGGGGGGAGGGTATCAACAACAACACTGAGAGCCACGGAAGGGGTAGGGGGGTATCAACAACAACACTGAGAGCCACGGAAGGGGTAGGGTATCAACAACAACACTGAGAGCCACGGACGGGTAGGGGGTATCACCAACAACACTGAGAGCCACGGGAGGGGCAGGGGGTATCAACAACAACACTGAGAGCCACGGGAGGGGTAGGGGGTATCAACAACAACACTGAGAGCCACGGGAGGGGTAGGGGGTATCAACAAAAACACTGAGAGCCACGTGAGGGGTGGAGGGTATCAACAACAACACTGAGAGCCACGGGAGGGGTGGAGGGTATCAACAACAACACTGAGAGCCACGGGAGGGGTGGAGGGTATCAACAACAACACTGAGAGCCACGGGAGGGGTGGAGGGTATCAACAACAACACCGAGAGCCACGGAGGGGTGGAGGGTATCAACAACAACACTGAGCCACGGGGGGGTGGAGGGTATCAACAACAACACTGAGAGCCACGGGGGGGTGGAGGGTATCAACAAACAATACTGAGAGCCACGGGAGGGGTGGAGGGTATCAACAACAACACTGAGAGCCACGGGAGGGGTGGAGGGTATCAACAACAACACCGAGAGCCACGGGAGGGGTGGAGGGTATCAACAACAACACTGAGAGCCACGGGAGGGGTGGAGGGTATCAACAACAACACTGAGCCACGGGAGGGGTAGGGGGGTATCAACAACACTGAGAGCCACGGGAGGGGTAGGGGGGTATCAACAACAACACTGAGAGCCACGGGAGGGGTGGAGGGTATCAACAACAACACTGAGCCACGGGAGGGGTGGAGGGTATCAACAACAACACTGAGCCACGGGAGGGGTGGAGGGTATCAACAACAACACTGAGCCACGGGAGGGGTGGAGGGTATCAACAACAACACTGAGCCACGGGAGGGGTGGAGGGTATCAACAACAACACTGAGCCACGGGAGGGGTAGGGGGTATCAACAACAACACTGAGCCACGGGAGGGGTGGAGGGTATCAACAACAACACTGAGCCACGGGAGGGGTGGAGGGTATCAACAACAACACTGAGCCACGGGAGGGGTGGAGGGTATCAACAACAACACTGAGCCACGGGAGGGGTGGAGGGTATCAACAACAACACTGAGCCACGGGAGGGGTGGAGGGTATCAACAACAACACTGAGCCACGGGAGGGGTGGAGGGCATCAACAACAACACTGAGCCACGGGAGGGGTGGAGGGTATCAACAACAACACTGAGCCACGGGAGGGGTGGAGGGTATCAACAACAACACTGAGCCACGGGAGGGGTGGAGGGTATCAACAACAACACTGAGCCACGGGAGGGTAGGGGGTATCAACAACAACACTGAGCCACGGGAGGGGTGGAGGGTATCAACAACAACACTGAGCCACGGGAGGGTGGAGGGTATCAACAACAACACTGAGCCACGGGAGGGGTGGAGGGTATCAACAACAACACTGAGCCACGGGAGGGGTGGAGGGTATCAACAACAACACTGAGCCACGGGAGGGGTAGGGGGTATCAACAACAACACTGAGCCACGGGAGGGGTGGAGGGTATCAACAACAACACTGAGCCACGGGAGGGGTGGAGGGTATCAACAACAACACTGAGCCACGGAGGGGTGGAGGGTATCAACAACAACACTGAGCCACGGGAGGGGTGGAGGGTATCAACAACAACACTGAGCCACGGGAGGGGTAGGGGGTATCAACAACAACACTGAGCCACGGGAGGGGTGGAGGGTATCAACAACAACACTGAGCCACGGGAGGGGTGGAGGGTATCAACAACAACACTGAGCCACGGGAGGGGTGGAGGGTATCAACAACAACACTGAGCCACGGGAGGGGTGGAGGGTATCAACAACAACACTGAGCCACGGGAGGGGTGGAGGGTATCAACAACAACACTGAGCCACGGGAGGGGTGGAGGGTATCAACAACAACACTGAGCCACGGGAGGGGTGGAGGGTATCAACAACAACACTGAGCCACGGGAGGGGTGGAGGGTATCAACAACAACACTGAGCCACGGGAGGGGTGGAGGGTATCAACAACAACACTGAGCCACGGGAGGGGTAGGGGGTATCAACAACAATAACCACAAACCACAGAATACTGGCACCAAATATCTGTGTTTATCGTAGAAATATTACACGGAAGCCGTTCGTGTTGCTTCCTTTAATGATCACCTTAATCACAACATCCAGCCGTACGGCTGACAATAAACATCAGGGGGCAGAGAGGGGGGCTTAACCCCCGTCTAAACTTCCACCAGCACTCTA